TCAATATATAGTATTATGTGCATCTATTAACCTGTATTCCTGCCTGAGAGCAAATGCTGCCGGAAATATCTTTTAACAAATTATTAACAAATTGAAAAAAACGTAACATTACCCCCATCGAGTTATGCCCTAAGTAGGCTATCCAGATTGAAGGTCTCGATGTCCCCTATCTGAAAAGTCGATCCTGCCTCGTGAGAACTTGCCGGAAAAGGGTGGCAGGGCAGCTTATTGGGGCAAGGGCCCGCGGTCTCAGCTTTGACACCTAGATCATTTTTTTGTTGATGAGGGTGCACTGATCCAACCTCAATCGAACACAGTGAGATTCACTTAAATCGACCCAGATTGATCTAATTCGGTCAATCGAATTCGGCTATAGAAGGGAGTGATATAGGCTATTTTTTAGCCCGAAAAAAAAAAGTTCAATTGCGCGAAACTCTGATACACTGGAACGCCTATAAACAGCCCGGGGCGCTCTAGAGCAGCTCTGCTTAAAATGCGTCACTGAACCCACTGGCAAGCGACTCTGATCGGATTAAAAAAAAACTTTTAGAAAATCAATAAAAAAAATTGAAAAAAAGTGTATCATTTCAAAATGAATTTTCACGTTGGCAACGCAGCGGGTCATTAGTTAGAGTACATTTTAAATTCGAACCAAATTTGGTTTCTCCCTCTATGGTTTCTCCCGATGATTCCACACCATATATAGTTCCACACCTAAACACCAATCCAGGTGCAATGTTTGTATCAGAGGTTTGTATTTAGAAGTAGATGTTACATGTTAAATAAGGCCACGTTAAAAAGTTTTATTTTTTACCTAGCATTTTCCACCAAAGCCAACAAGAATCACCAGCTTATATTTGAAATGTATCGCTTCTATTTCTTGAATATCAACTCCAATTTATTTATTTTTTCATATAAGTGGTGGTTTTTGCGTAAAAAAAACCGCTTACCAATGGCCTTATTTGGATCACTATGCTCCTAATAAGGCCACTATTAAAAAATGTTTAAAATTGATATAATTATTTATAAAAAGTAAAAAAATTTAATTTGGGGTAGGGGTACAGAGGTGCGTTTCTTAACTCGGTTAAGGGCCGGTTTTTCAATAGCAGGTCACTCCTAAGGATAATACACACTACTACTATAGGATGGGCTATCCTCGTAAGACCTGTGTGTAACAAATCCCCCCGCCTTCACGGCCAAAATACCAGTTGTGACGTAAGCAGCATGTTATTTCTCGTCTTGACCTAGGCTGTTTAAACAGCTGATGACTTTAGCTATGACATCGGAAATGGTAATACACCAATACGGCGGCGATTACCAAAAACGAGGCCGATAAGCAATCCTGTAGGTGTGTATCATCCTTGGGTCACTCCTGGGTTAAACATAACTCTACTCCAGGGTAAACATAGCAACTGGACATGCTTGCCATGGAATTAAAACCAACCCGAAGATGACTCGCTATTGAGAAACCGGCTTTAAGTCACTCTAACTACCCGAGTAAAATTTTACCTAAATAGGTACAATATAATCCGGGTGCATCTAAACATTCCGGTATAGGATTCGGCACCTAGACATATTTCATTGGTTCGTTTGAATTCGAACCGCTAATTAATGCGGAGTGCCGAAATCCGTACTTGAATGAATGAATTGGTGCTGAGTCTCAGGTCGGAATGGTATGTACTATGTGGAGTGCCGAATCTAAGGTCAAAATGTTAAACAGTGCCCATAGCTGCAGGTTCGAATGTAACTCCGTTAGCGCGGCACAAAATCAACAAACAAACTTTATTTACTTTTTGTTACACATTTATTTTATTTCAACGATACATTTCAAAAAATCTTGAACAATAATTTGCAGTGGCGGACCCAGGGGGGGAGGGAATATAAAAACCTGAAACCTGACAAATTAGAATAGAAATAAATACCCTAATATATTTATCTTTTTTATTGGTATCTGTGGTGCTTACTTTAATTAAAATATCAATTGAAGCCAGGCAACAGCAGTTTTTGGATTTTCCTTTCTTATTATTTCCTTGATCCATTTTTTTATAAGCACTAGGTATGATGGCATACAAAAACATATCTAAAAAATGTATTTTCCAAATTCTATTCGCATCCAAGAAGATTCTACGTCAATGAATTCACATTGAACCCAAACCTGCATTTGAATCTGTTATAATTATTTTTCGCTGACTCCACATTCCAATTCGTGTATGTTATATCACTATACTCGTCTATCCCTTTATATCGTTTTCCTCCAAAATGTTGCTCACCACATTGAAAGTAGGGTTGCCAACTGTCCTGCATTTCGGTGGACGTCCACCATTAGGGGTTCATTGTCCAGCGTCCCTGTAACAACTTATTGCCGGACGCCTATTGTACTTAATTTTTAACTTAATGAAGAATTCTGTCAAATTAAGCCAGCTATAAACCTGGTTCTGGTTTATAAAAAAAGTCATACAGTAAGTACTTGAAAATGGAACTTATTATTTTTGAATAATACTGAGTTGAAAAATGTCTGGATTATTTTGCAATTTGTATTTTCTATATTTGGGCCCAATGATGACGCTGAAAGGATTTTTTTAATGCGTTCAGCTTTGTGGACTGCTGCGCGTAATCGATTATGCATTGAACACCTCAAGGCAGAACTGCAAATGAAGATTAATTATTCTTATGTACTTGCAAAGAATTTCATGATTTTGTAAGAGGTAATAAGAAGTTAATGGTACCATTACCATTGCTGCAAAAAGTGGAAAAAAAATATGAATTTAAACTAAGTATAAGTAAACTATAAGTAGGTACCTATGTAGGTACCTACTTAACTTTTTATATTCTTCAAATAATTTGTTAATCTGCATACTACTTTTGAAATAAAATTTTAAATTATTAGTTACTATTTACCCAAAGAATTCTTGTTGGATAGTTTTATGGATTGCTTATTTAAGTTTGTAAATGGCATATTTCTCTGCAATAGTAAAAATGTCCAGAATTTATACTGTATGTCCTGAATTTTTATTACCCTCGTCCAGAAAAATTAAAAAACAAAGTTGGCAACCCTATTTGAAAGTGTTTAAATGATCTAGACACACTCATCTTGCATGTTTAAGCACAAGAACACATGAAGCAACGGCGAAATAAACCGCATCCGCCGCAAAATTGTAGCTGAAGAACACGCAGGGCCGCAACTAGAACCCTCGGCGCCCAAGGCAAGTTCAAATTTTGGCGCTCCTCCACACTCCACCGCCTTCTAAAAGTAACAATGGATATATTTTTTGATGCTTTGGTTTTTTGCTTGAAATTTTTTCAATAAATTTCGAAATATATAATTTAGACACATTAAATCAAAAATATTTATCTACAAGCGTTTTGTTATGACGTTTTTACATAACCATTTTTCTAGTATTAATTGGAGTTATGTCATGAGACTCATAACACAACTAGTGGTGTTATAGACTAGGTTATGAATTCATAACACAACTAGTGGTGTTATGGACGAGGTTATGAATCTATAACACAACTATTTTTAGTGATTTGACAAATGTCAAAGGTAAACCTGTAAAGGTGAATAAAGGTAGGAAACTACTAATAAACGAAAATAACTGGAAAAACATTCTTATTTTTCGCTTTGTAGATAAAATGTTGTACATCACACGTGCGTTTAAACATGACTACAAAACTCCGTGTGATTAGAACGACTCAGTCTACGGCCTCGTCGCGTTCTATAATCTTTCACACTCGTTATTGTAATCATGTTCATAAACGCACTTGTAATGTAAATAACTATTAGGTAGGTACGTACTAGGTAAATTAGTAGGTATTAAGTATTAAAAAACACACTGCGGAGAATTTTTAACATTTATTTTTTTAAAAAAATCAATAGATATGGATGAAACAGATAGACAGTTTTCTTATTGGGTTTCAATTCATATTAGGTTCTTATTATAGGTAAGAATGGTAGATAAGTATAAATATGATTAAATATTATAACCTACCGGAGCCTAGCACGACAGTCTTCAGTTATAGAAGCTTTTTCTTTGGAAATATTAGCAGACATTTTTCAAATTTTTATGTACGGTTCCTACCTACATGTAAACAAAAACAAAACAAACTGCACTGGCTCTCCACGAGCCTTCCCAGCTTGCCAAAAAAATGCGCACTGAGTGCATACATAATTGCACTGGATTTCAAATGGAAAATAAAAACTGATAATGTGCAGTCAAATGGAATGCAAAAATTGCACTATGAGTGCACCTCCGCGTGATTAAATTAGGCGCCTTCGGCGCCCCGATACTCCGGTGCCCTAGGCGGGCGCCTAGTTCGCCACCCCCTAGTTGCGGCCCTGGGAACACGAAGGAGGTGGACAGCTGATTTAATATAAAAACCGCGCCAAACGCATGGCAACATTCGGACCTGATACTCGGCACTGTTTAACATTTTGACCTTAGATTCGGCACTCCACATGGCTGTTGCTAATGGACCATTCTGACCTGAGGCTCAGCACCGTTCAACATTCAAGTACCGATTCCGGCACTCCGCATCAATAGGCTCGTTCAGCATATTTTTTTTATTACATATTCTAAAAGAGCGTATTGAGTTTAGCAGTTGTGCAAAATTTCATAATTTTCTGAGCCCTTGTTCATATTTAAATAAATTATCAAAACGATAAAAATTTGAAAGTTTTGAATCACGCGGTGACGTCACTGCATCTCTCATGTTGGTCGTGTGACGGCCTTTAGCCCGTCTTGACTCGAGAGATGACGTCATACCATCTTTCAGCGATGAATTTCTGAGGCATAATGTTTTAATATTCAAAGCCGCATAACTTTTTTAATATTTATCCAATTGAGCTGAATTTTTTTTTTTGTGTGCTATATTATGTGAGTAATACTCCATAAAAATATCAAAAAACGTGGTTAATGAAACTTCACTGAACGAGCCTATTGGCGGTCCGAATTCAAACGGACCAATAAAATATGCCTAGGTGCCGAATCCTATACCGGAATGTTTAGATGCAACCCGGGTTCTCGAATCGTGAATGCGCCCAAAATATGAAAAATATTTCCGAACCGTGGACATTTTATATTCAAAATGCAAAGTACGCTTTGGGAGTTTAATTGATGAGTAGCAGTACAGCTTTTTGTTTAAAAATTAGTTCCGCGCGCTTACCGGAGCGGAGAGTGAAGCTTACAAATGTGAAAAGATTTCAATTCTGAATCCGGTGCTACATGCGGCATTCAAGGGTGTTGAGCGGAGCCGTAATCACGTGATCAGCGAGTGAACCGAGCAGCTGAACGCTGTATCAGTGCCCAAAAAAAAACGACGGAAAAATTCAAGCTCGGAGAACTCAGATCAAAATACCGAAAACACGAAGTGTTCGTCTTCCTTGTTCTTTTTATCAAATAGAAAGAGATGCCGGAAATGGAGACCATCGAGCGGCTAAAGTTGAGTTCGGAATGGGATTTTAGTGCAGTGCTAGTGCTGTGTTCGTGTAGTGCAGTGTGATGAAGGTGTAATCGGCGGCGTAACACCGAATACACCATCATTTTGTACCGAGTGAATGGTGTCCCACCATTTTCACATCATGCGGGCACCAAATTATTTCCCAATGCAAATAAAGTGTACTCCAAGCTCACTCCTACCAATTAACGAACGCTACAGTAGCCGCTTCCCAGCTGTGTGCTTCAAGCACGGTGCAGCACAGTGTTCTGTGTTTGGGACGCAAAAGTTATCAGCTCTCGAAGCGCAGTAAGGCTGGAACACGAATTCGCGCTTGAAGCATTTGCGCGCGCAAAGGCTCGATTGCGTGCTCAAAAGCGTCAGCTGGAAAGCGGCTAGTGTCATGGTGCGTACGATAAGTCCGAACTACTGACACTTTTTACCCTGACCCGTCATTAATGCGCACTTTTTACACCATTCGTACCGTGCAGCGTACATTTTCCGGTGTAGTTCAGATGGTTGCGTTCCAAAACATACCTGCACCGCACTAACGCTCACCGGTTCAGACAAATCGTACGCACCATCAATAGTGTAAAAAGTGTCGACAGTTTCTACCATTCCGAACTCACCCTAACTAACTTCACTATTGTTTATGTCATTTCAAGTAAAAGGCGCGAAACAGGTGATTGTCATTCCTTCTTGACCGCGAAAATCATTTTTCGAGCAGTCATGTCTTCCAGTACCTCGCCGGGAATTTCTCCAAAAATGAATGAAAGGGCCAAAGATATTTCGCTATTCGACCCGGATACCAAAGATTCAGGCTTCTCTGAGGATTCCCTAGAAGCCAGTGAGAAATTATTGGAATACCCTTACCAGCTAGATGACGAGATGACTATATGCTTTTCCCCCCTTGTGGAGGCTTTTGAGGCCACCCCAAACGAAAAAACACAGTCGGGCAAAAAGAAACGTATGTTTTCTAGCCCCATCAGGCAAAGCCCTTCATTAATTGCCGCAAACTCGATGAAAAGGCTCCGACTATTCGACTCAGACACCCCGAATAAATCAGTGGCTTCTGAAGACTTTACTCAAGATTTCTTAGCAGAAGGTTCCAAGAATGATGACCCATTGGGGCCTTCATTCAAAATAAGAAAAGTGGAGCAATACGATGCCCGAAGAGGGGTTATTAAAGAAGCTGTCGAGAAGTCTTCTGAAGGTAATTTGATTGGGGATTTTTCTAAAGACTATGCCTTGCCTTTGATCAACGAGTCCCATTCTGAACTAAAAATGATTTCTGCGGATACCATGAGGGACGTTTTGGATGGGAAATACAAGAATGTGCTCCACTCGTTTAAGGTAAGAACATCTTCAATTTATTTAAAAGTGCTTGAGCAATAGTTTTTCGAAATGATATTGACACGCATTTTGCCGCAAAACTTTGTTAATTTTGATCTGATCTGAACGTTATAAGGCTTCAATCAAGGACAATTCGATTCTCTACAAATTCTTAATTTATAGTTTCAATGCAGCTGCAATAGTCTTGCAGCTGTGAAGCTTCAAAGTCGTGTAATTTTTATTTTTGTCAAGGTGAGAGAGCATAAGGAATTATTTTTATTTTTTTACTAAATTTCAAGCTTCTCTCTATCTACTTCCAAAATTTCAATCCAATAATAGACTTTGCGAATAGCTTAGACATATTCCTCAAAATAAAAAAATTGGGGAAAAAATAAAACATCCCTATCAATGTAATTTTTTTGAGAATTAAATTTTTCCCAAAATTACATTACCATACATTTTGCCTCACAACTTTGTTAATTTCAATCTGATCCTAATGCCATTAGGCTCAAATTAAGACCATTTGACGCCTTTACAAATATTCTCGCAAATATCTTATCATAAGTTTCAGCAGCTTCAATAATCAAAGTTGAATACTTTTACAGCTGACACGAGAAGTGTCAGTAATTTAGGTTTAATCTACAGGGTGTTTTGTACATTGATAGGAAGTTTTCAATGAGTGATAGTGGGGGTCCGTCAACCGAAAATTGTTCGAAAATAATTGTTTGAAAGAAAATTGTTTGAAAGAAAATTGTTCAAACGGAAAATTGTTTGAACGGAAAATTGATCCAACGGAAAATTGTTTGAATGCAAAATTGTTCGAACAAAAAATTGTTCGAACGGAAAATTATTCCAACGGAAAATTATTTGAACAGAAAATTGTTCCAACGGAAAATTATTCGAAAGGAAATTGTTCGAACGGAAAATTGTTTTTTTTTTTTCCGAAAATCAAAAGTTTAACTGTGAATCGTAAATGAATCTATGGCCGGAGTTACCCAATTCCTTAATTCGTAATATTTGTCCCTGATTAAATCCTTTATTTAGCATAAATGGTTAATATACAAGGACTAGCACACATTAGGTGGACGGGTTAATTTGGGTTAGTTTACATATTTTTGGTTGGTTTCGTCACGGTTTGTTTAATACTGGTTAAAAGAGTACTGCTTGGCAATAGGAGGCGCTTGGTTTTTTAAATTTAGTATTAACATACAAGGACTAGCATGCATTACGTCGACGGGTTAGTTTGCATATTTTTGGTTAGTTTCGTTACAGTTCATTTAATACTGCTGCCATCATATTTAATGAGTAAAATAAATTACATTTCTCAGAGGCATGAAAGAAATTTGAGATCAAGGGATAATTTTGATATCCCCAGGGTCCTGTCTGTACAAGCAGAAAAATCATTATTTATTAGGGGATTAATTGAATTTAACCAGTTACCGACTGATATCAAAGGCTGTGAACAAATCAATACTTTTAAAAGAAAACTTAGACAATATATTAGAGATAAGACAGATTAAATTACAGTGTATACTTTTAGTTTTATTTATTTGAGTGATTTAGAATATTTTTGTTTTTTGTTTGTATTGCCGGTTTTATATTTAATGATTGTATTTGAAATTGATGTGCAATGTTGATTAATTGTTTATCTGTGTTTTTTCAAAAAATAATAATAAGATGTTGAGATAACGTATATGTAACTCCAAGATGTAATTAGTTATAATAGCTAAATAAACGATTACAACAAAAAAAAAATTACTGATTAGAAGTGTACTGGTTGCCAATAATATTTTAACCTGCGCCCTTTTGTCCGCTCGCTTTTGAGCTGCGCTCTTTTATACCAAAGCCGATTTACGATTCCGCGGATCTTCTCTTTGAGATTCGGTGAGCGAAGCAAGCAATTGGAGATTCAAAAATAATTGAAATTTCGAGCTGTTGTATTTAAAAAAGCTTTTTTACGTTTTTGGTGGATTTACGTTTCTGAGGCGTATAAGTACATTTATTAACAATTTTCCATTCGAACAATTTTCCTTTCAAACAAATTTCCGTTCGAACAATTTTCTGTTCGAATAATTTTCCTTTCGAAAAATTTTCTTTTCGAATAATTTTCTGTTCAAACAATTTTCCTTTCAAAGAAATTTCCGTTCAAACAATTATTTTTAACAATTTTCCGGGACTCAGTTGGGGTCATTTGGGAGCTCTTTTACCACATTTATCTTTATGCAAAGTTTGAATTGTTACTAAAACATATGATTGTTTTTTTATTGGTAGTAAACACTTCAACCTTTCTCTATTTTTTTTCGGACATTCCTAATATGCACTCTTCCAAAAACTATGGAAAGGAAAACCCTCGAGAAAACCGAATGATTGATACAAAAAATATGTAGCCCTTAAAAAGTGTGAGGCACCTTCAAAGGAGGAATAATAATCCAATGTCATTATGATGACCAACGCCAGCGATTACAAAGTATTTTACAAAAACAGGATAAACTGCACATAAAGAAACTCCAAAATACCGATCGGATGCTAATGATAACTGGAATAGACATAGGATATAAACCTGACACTTTTATAAATGAGTTCATTGAAGAGATCCTGCAAATAACAACTGTTTTAGGACCGGATGTCAATACCAAAATCAAATTTATTACCAAAAAGCAATGCAGAAACAACAATAAAGAAAACTGTAATTTCGATATGATACGAAAAAAGAATAGGTTAGATATAATGTTAATGGTGAAACGTCAGAATAATAATTACAATGAAATGTATTCCAGCGTTAAAAAAGAGTATGATGAGTTGTTCCGGAAGTGAAATTTTGGGAAAATTTCTTTAATAAAAATGTCCAACATCCAACACAAAACTAGATTTTTTTTTAATTTCCAATTAGTAGTGTTTCTTATAATAAGAATGTGAACCTCAGTGACGTCATGACCCTACAATTTCTTTCAAATTCCTCCTCGAATTCCTCATAAATAAATTCCCGACAGATTCCTCCAAAATACCCATAAATTTTTCCAAATTCCCCACATTTTTGCATGGAAAAAGAAAAGTCAAAGGCTCATTTTCCCAAAATTTCAAATTTTTCTAGTGGAAAATAACAACATGAAGAATCTTGGAAATCAACTCCCAATAATTGAATTAATTGAAAATCCAATCTCACACAATTCAAAGTTTTCCTGGAAAACTAATGAAGGAAAAAATTTGAAACTTTTGAAGTGAAAACTTCTTTAGAATTGTTGGGAGTGATTTGAGACTCGATGAAACGAAAAAGCGACACTAAAAAGGGACAAACATATAGATCTATGGGATTTAGCCTGCGAGAGAATGAGATAGATATACAGTTGTACAGCGTTCCCTATTCTTCTTCTCCTCTTTGTGCGGTGCTTCGTAGTCTCCTCACTTTGGTCTACCAAGCGTTGTACGTATGTATGTTAGTATGTGTGTAATGTATGTGTGTTCTCTCTCAGCTTAGTTTAATGAAGGTTTCACTTCTACCGGGTGTGAACTGCACAGGATTTTTTTTTTGCATGTAAAAAGGAAAGTTAGAGGTTCATTTTCCCAAAATTTCAAATTTTTCCATTGAACATAGAGAATCTTGGAAATCAACCTCCAATAACTAAATTAATTGACAATACAGTCTCACACATTTCAAAGTTTTCTGGAAAACTAATGAAGGAAATATTTTGAAACTTTTTGCATGTAAAGACAAAGGTGAGAAGCTCATTTTCCCAAAATTTCAAGTTTTTCCAGTGGAAAATTACAACATTGAGAATCTTGGAAATCACGCTACAATAACTGGATTAATTGAAAATACAGTCTCACACAATTCAATTTTCCTGGAAAACTAGTGAAGGAAAAAATTTGAAACTTTTTGTGTGTAAAAAGGAAGGTTAGAGGCTCATTTTCAAATTTTAAATTTTTCGAGTGAAAAATGACAACACGAAGAATCTTGGAAAACAACCTCCATAACTAAATTAATTGAAAATACAGTTTCACACATTTCAAAGTTTTCCTGGGAAACTAGTGAAGACATTTTTTTAAAACATTTGCATGTAAAGAGGAAGATGAGAAGCTCATTTTCCCAAAATTTCAAATTTTTCTATTGGGAAATAATAACATGAGGAATTTTGGAAATCAACTTACAAAAACTGAAATAATTGTTAATACTGTCTCACACAATTCAAACTTTTCCTGGAAAACTAATTAAGGGAAAATTTTGAAACTTTTTGCATGGAAAGAGAACGGTCAGGCTCATTTTCCCAAAATGTCAAATTTTTCCAGTGGAAAATAACAACATGGAGAACCTTGGAAATCAACCTCGAATAACTAAATTAATTGAAAATACAGTTGCACACATTTCAAAGTTTTCCTGGAAAACTATTGAAGGGAAAAATTTGAAACTTTTTGTATGTAAAGAGGAAGCTGAGAAGCTCATTTTCATAAAAATTTCAAATTTTTCAAGTGGAAAATAACATGAAGAATCTTGGCAATCAGTTTACAAAAACTGTACTTATTATTCTTTTAATTTTTTTAAATTTGGCCCTGTAAATCGTGAAGTGAAATTTTGGGAAAATTTCCTCAATAAAAGTTGTCCAACATCTAACACAAAACTAGATTTTAAATTTCTTATTATTAATGTTTTTATAATAAAAATGTGAACCTCATTGTCGTCATGATTCTACAATTTGCTTTAAATTCCTCATATATTCCTCACAAATTCCTCCAAATTCCCCATACATTTCTCCAAATCCTCCATAAATTTCTCCAAATTCTCTATAAATTCCCCAAATTCTCATAAATTCCGATGAGTTCCTTCAAATTCCCCACAAATTCCTCTAAATTCCTGACGTCTTTGGCAAAGAATTCCTAGGTGGTTTGTCCCTTGAATTTACCCCATCTTTAAGAAAATTATAAATCCATGGTCTTAAATCCGGTCAGTCAAAAAGAAATATTAGAACTAAGGAAAAAAATAAACACAGTAATGGTGATGATGAAATACCCACAAGTCTTATTCGTGAAATCATTCCAGCCATATCAAAGAGGGCGTGTTTCCTGATGCATTAAAGTTGTTGGCAATCAGGCCATGTTATAAGAACAAAGTTGATACTAACTTGTTAGAAAACCACATACCCATTAGTCGCCTTCCGAGATTCTCAAAGTTGTTTGAAATTGTTATGTGCAAGCAGTTAATGAGTTTTATTACTGAGTGTGAGATTCTTTCAGGAAACCAACATGGGTATACGGAAGGAAGATCCACTCAAACGGCAATTTTCCAGTTCACACAGGCGATTTTGAAACATCTGGAGGATGGCGACATGGCACTAGGAATATTTTTAGATTTATCTAAGGCCTTTGATTGCTTGGATAGAGATATACTTCTCAGGAAATTAGAAATTTATGGTATTAGGGGGCTCTCTCTCGGGTGGTTTTGGTGATACTTAAGTAATAGAACTCAAAGGGTGATTGTGTGTAAAGATGGTATATATATACAGTAGGGATACCACAAGGGAGTATTCTCGGACCTATTTTAATTATAGTTTTCATAAATGACATAAACAGCAAATGTCTCATCCAAAATTCTAACTTAACAGAGTATGCAAATGATACAAGTTTGTTGGTAGGAAGGACAACGATTCCTAAATTGGTTGAGAATGCAGAAACCTTGTATCAGCTGAAAAATGGTTTAGAAGAAACAAGTTTTGTTTGAACAAAGAAAAAACAAAAACTTTGATGTTTAGAAGAAAATTAAATAAAACACAAAAACTAGATTCTATTTTCATCGAAGGTAATAAACAATCCTTAACTAGTACTAACTTACACTTAACGTATACCTACTCAGAACTATTTACCAAATGTCCCCCTTGTATTCTTGTCAAGGGGTTTTTATATCAAAAGGCATACTGACGATATATGGCTTATATATATTTGAACTTATTCTATGTGTTTTCGAAAATAGACATTTGTATGACAATATTATTACCGATAAGTATAATGCTCGCACCGACAATATTTTGTATCCAGTTCGATTAACCATATCTGAAAGAAGTCCACATTACATGGGAATAAAATTGTTCAATAAATTAGACAACTGTATAAAAAATATAAAATTTGAAAAAATATTTAAAAAGGAACTGAAACATGCTAATTGACGTAGAGCCTTTTAATGTAAGAGAATATTTGAATATGTAATATGGTGATTGTAATAGGTTCTTGGGATAGGGTAACACTCCTGTTTGTAGATCTTCTGTGTTTCCATTTGTGTTGACTCCATTTCATTTTGTATTTTTTTTTTTGTACATGTATTATGTATAAACCGAGGTATAAACTAAATGTAATTTTGAAAGTAAAGAAATAAATAAATAAATAAAAGGGCAATGAAGTATCAAAAATGATTCCGAGATATTTTTGTTGTCATAGTCCTATGAAGTCTACCAACCTTAAACACTTTGTAATAACGTGATTAAAGTATTTTGTGAAGACTTTGTGTTTTCCTTTGGAATTACATTTCAGTTGCAGATCCTTAATCTGGTACCCAAGTCCATTTTAAGAGATAGACTACTTCACTTTAATAAATTGTTTCAATGCAGCTTCAATAATGTCGCAGTTGTGAAGCTTAAAAATCAGTTAATTAATTTTGATTTTCATCAAAGGGAGCGAGTAGATGAAATTTTTTATTTTTGTTCACAAATTTCAGTCTTGAATGCGCAAAAAATATCACAAATTTTGCCCAATATTGATACAATTTTCAAAAAAATAAAAATGTATATGAACCTGTAATCTAATGTTTTACGTTTCTTTGCAGATAATTGACAGCAGATACCCCTACGAATATGAAGGAGGACATATCCGCGGAGCAGTAAACTTGTACACTGCCAACACTTGTCTGAGATTACTCGACAACTCCGCACATCCCAAAGACGAAAGACACATCTTGATTTTCCATTGCGAATTTTCCAAAGAAAGAGGCCCACGTATGAACAGATGCTTGAGAAAAGAAGACCGTACGAGAAACGCTTTCAACTACCCGGCCTTGAAATTCCCAGAAATGTATGTCCTGGAAGGCGGTTACAAGAAATTTTTCAATAATCATCCCGAATACTGCGAACCTAATACCTACACCCCCATGTTGAATCCTGAAAATCTTGACGATTTGAAATTTTTCAGGAAAAAGGGTAAGACTGAAAATGTATCGGGAACCAGCAAGAAAGGTCCTACTACTAAGATGACAAGAAGTTCTCATGGTATAAGGAAGACATTATCTGATGGCTTCTTTTAAGGAAGTATACATTTATTTTTTTATATTTTTAATTATTTGAACTGAAAATGAGTCCTATGTTACTTTTGCATCAATGCAATTTAGTAATTTCAAATTTTCTTACCATAATTAGCTCCAGTGAAAGACAGGTACAACAAAGTACCCAGTGATTTTTGCAAATGTGAATCTAGTAGAATTTATAGAATGTTTATTTCTAACATTCCAATATCTTATTTTATTATTATCAACTTTTATGCATTATTTTGTATATATTCCATGTTCAAAAATATTGCGCTTCCTATGAGAGTAGATTTTTTTCAATCTACCTATTTATAACAATTTTATATTATGTGATAATAATTTAGGTTATAAACTATACATTGCATCAATGTTTACAGATTATTTTGAATTATAATTTGTTGGAATTTTCCCACATTTTGGTATTGTGATTTTTCTATTCGTAAATACCTTGTCTTGCTTATTTGTTTTTTAGATTAAAATTGTGCCATAATTTGCACCATATTTTTTTTTGCATCACACTATATAAAGTAAGTACGACAAGGTAAATATATAATTTAATTTTGAAAATTATAATTTTTTTGTTCTAGTGCAATTAAATATCATTACGCTTTTATTTAGATATTATTTTTAGAGTTTCTATGAGTTGGAAGAATTTTTATAATTTAATTATTTTTTAAGAAAGCCAAATTGTTTATTTTTTTTTTGTGCAATGTTTCCATAGGTTAAGTAGAATTTTCATGTGTAGTGTGGTCCCTATGTTTGATGATTTCTTCTGTATTTTGATAACGTAATAGGATCTAGTTGAAGAATGGACATTCCATGATTCTAATTGAATAACTCAATTTGATAGTGATTAATTTATTGGACATACATTATTTTTAGAATTGTTCCATCAATAAAGAGGTATCAATTAAAATGGTCATTGTTTAATTTTTTTTATGATTTTTGGGAAATAGCTAAAGGTGAATGAACATTGTTTTAATGGAGAAGCGGATTTTTTTTTTCTCAAAAACTATTGAGGGTAAAGCTATAAAATCTTATATCTTCGAAATCAGCTAAAAAAGAGCTATGCAATGAAAAAATAATATATGGCGTGTTCCGTTCAAAAAACAAAACTTGCGAGAAAACGGTAATAGGGGAAGGCATTTTGCTGTCATAAAGTGATGTCATTCTATAACACCGTTTATTGTTTTTGATACCCAAGTCTCGAAAGTTGAGTATGTAAATGAAAAATTCTAGCCTCAGATTCATTTGTGATTGTTTTGATGTGTAAAAGTGACTTTTATCTGAGGTTTTTTTGTTATTGAAGGACATCAAAAAATGGCAGCCCTCCGCACAAAGCGGACGTGAAAAGGAAGAGGACGGAACCTCCATATGCTGACAGAGCCGCTGGGCCAAGCACCAGCTACGCCGTCAGCAAAAACCATGAAGGTGGCAGCACTCCCCGCGGCATTCCCTAAGGAAACCCTCAGTGCAGAAAAACTCTCTGCCCTAGAGGACGCCATTGTGGAGGAACATAAACTTTGGAGGTATACATTTCCGACCAAGCATGCTGGTGATTGATTGCCTCACCAAGGAAACAGTTGAGTGGCTGATAGAGCACGTCCCCAGGTTGGAAACCTGGCAGGGAGGAGAGCTGATGGTGTGCCTGGGAGACGACATCCCAAAGGCGCACACCATCACAGTCTTCTTCCCAAGAAGTAAAGGGCAAGACCCTCTTAAAATCCTAAGCCCGGTAAACACCCAAAACGAAGGGCTTAGCACTCAGCTGTGGAAAGTAATGGGCTGCAAGGACGATCGAGGGTAACGGCCAGCTACTCAACATTAGCATAGACGATGGGTCCTGCGAAACCATTAGGAAAATGGGGTACAACCTCTTCTATAGGTTCGGGAAAATCCCCGTACACGGCCTTAAGAAGAGAAAGGGTAAAGAAGAAACAAACGAGGACCCCACCTCCTCGGAATCCAAACCGGAGTCTCCTTCAGAAGAAGACGAAGGGAAAGAGGACGAAGGCCTTGAGGAGGGGGAGAAAACTCTCACTCCGGCAGAGAAAGTTCCCAGTGAGGAAGAAAAAATGCTTCTGGGCGATTAGGAGATCATCACTCCACCACACCAGAAACAACAATAACAGGTGAGATGGCGAATTACACCACAATAGCCCAGGTGAACGCGCATCACGCTAAGGAAGCATCTGCTGCCATAGCGCGGTTGTTCACGTCGGCACACTTGGGAGCCGTACTAATCCAAAAACCTTGGATACAAAGGGGCAGATCAAAGGCTTGTCAAGTAAAGGGGCAAAAATAATCTGGGACAGTCGGTGTAACGACCCTAGAGCATGCATTCTCCTGAATGAAAATATTAATCATTTATGTCTTTCAGAATTTACGTCGCGGGACTTGGTTACGGTTCGGGTTCAACTTACCACCGACCCACCACACCGCGACCTAGTACTGGCATCAGGCTACTTCGCTGGAGATGGGCAAGCACCACCAGAAGAAGTACAGAGACTAGTCGAATACTGCAACAGGAACAAACTACCGCTCCTAATTGGCTGTGACGCCAACGCCCACAACACTATCTGGGGAAGTACCGACACAAACCTAAGAGGTGAGCAACTGTTAAAATTTATTTTTCAAACAAACCTGAATATACTAAATGTAGGGAATACACCAACATTTGTTACTAGGGTCAGACAGGAGGTGTTAGACATAACACTTTGTAGTCCAAATATTGACCAAATGATCAGGAATTGGAGAGTCTCGAATGAACCCTTTCTCTCTGATCATAGAATCATAATATTTGAAGCAAAAGGAGTGCAGGAACGAACTGCCTCGTATAGAAACACAAACTGAGAAGAATACACAAGCAAACTGCAACGCAACCTCAAACAAAATAAGATTAGCTGCAAGAACACACGTGAAGTAGAAAAAACCCTTCAAATCCTTAACGGAGCAATCATGGAGGCATACGAATCCAGTTGTCCTGTGAAAGAACAAGTAAACAAAAAAGGTTGCCCACGGTGGAATAGTCACCTGTCACGACTTAGATCCGAGGTTCGCTGTCTCTTTAACAGAGCCAAACGGGACGGAGAATGGCAGGGCTACACCGAAAGGCTGACTGAGTACAACAGAGAATTAGGGAAGGCCAAACGGAAAAACTTCCAGAACTTCTGTGAATCTATCACAGAAACACCATCAGCAGCCAGACTATACAAAACCCTGGCAAAAGGCAGGGCGCATGGAACATTGACACTTAAGAAACCAGACGGCAGTTATACAGAAAATGAAAAGCAACGAGCTGCTCTACTACTAGAAATCCATTTCCGGGAAGTATACCCAATGGTACTGAAGAAAACAAAGAACGGCACAGAAAAACCAGGCAAGAAAACTGGGAGGTTGCCAAGAACCTTTGCACTCCGCAGCGACTGGCTTGGGCGATCGACTCATTTCAATCTTGGAGTAGACGGCATTTTTCCAGCCCTGTTGCAAAAAGAGCAAAATGAAATTATGCCGTATCTAATCAAACTCATTAGATACAGCCTAGCGACCGGATACATACCCAATGGAGAAGAGCTAAAGTAACTTTCATCCCAAAGGCAGGGAGAAAGGATGCCACTCTACCGAAGTCGTTGAGACCTATATGTCTCACGTCGTTCTTACTGAAGACAGTTGAGAAAGTTGTAAATAACTATATCAAAACAAATGTTCTAGAAAAGACGCCACTCCATCCTAGGCAACATGCTTACAGAGCAGGCAGATCAACAGAAACCGCTGTATTTGAACTCACTAACAGCATCCAAAACACACTGCTGAATCAAGAAGTAGCCATCTGCGCTTTCTTAGACATAAAGGGGGCTTTCGATAACACCTGTTATGAGTCAATAAAGAATGCGCTTGTCAGAAAAGGAGTGGACAAAACCAGATCCACCTGGATTTGTGAAACGTTAGCCACCAGAACTGCAGAAACGGATGTGGGGGAACAAACCATACAAGTTACCACAACGAGAGAATGTCCACAGGGAGGGGTACTCTCACCCTTGATATGGAGTCTAGTAGTCGATGATCTACTAAATACACTGACAGACCAGGGCTTCAACTGCCTTGGTTACGCCGATGATATTGTCATCATAGCCAGAGGCAAACACGGACTCTGTGACCTTACAGAAAAAGCACTCCGAACCACGAAGGAATGGTGTCAGACTGTGGGACTGAATCTTAACTCATCAAAAACTACACTGGTAACATTTACAAAAGGAACGAAACTCCCATACCTGAGGAACATTCGCCTCGATGGAAGTACTAGTAGTAGTTAGTCATCAAGTTGAAGGAGACATAATCGCATAATCCACATAGGTACTATGGTCTATAAGCCGTGTCTCACGATTTTCTCGCATATACATTTCCAGGGACCACTATACTTGACTCAATAAGACTTAGAAATTAGAACATACACCAATTAGAAACGATGATTTTTAAAATAATTTGTGAAAACGAATTTTCAAATAACTTTGATCAAACCAATCAAACGATTGTGTGATAACAGAAAAGGAAATATTTATGTTGATTTTACCCAAGTGATCTGACTAAACACAACAAATTTGTAGGTCTATAAACCTAGCAGTCCCAAGGTGGAAAAAAACTTCGGAAACTATATAATAATTAGGGGCTTCTTAGGTGCTAATTAGGGCCTCTAATTAAAAATTAGGTGCTCCTTCAGTTTTCGAGAAAATCAAAAAAAAACTAAGGGACTGCTAGATTTATAAAACCTACCAGTCCCCTATAGTAAAAAATATTTTTTCAAATTTTGTATCAAAATTAGGGGCTTTTTAGGTGCTCCTAAATAGTCCAAGAAAAAATTGAATTGATTAATTTATTAACTGAGTTACAGATTTTTTTTTAATTATAAGGGGACTGCTGGCTTTACGTTTACTTGTTGGTGTGTCAGAATGACAAAGAAACTTCGGGATCTATATATTAATTAAGTGCTTTTTAGGTGCTAATTAGGGCCTCCAATTAAAAATTAGGTGCTCCTCTAGTTTTTGAGAAAATTTAAAAAAAACTAAGGGATTGCTAGGTTTATGAAAGCTAGTAGTCCCCTATAGTGAAAAATATTTTTCCAAAAATTTCTTTTGTATTAGAATTAGGTGCTTTTTGGGTGCTCCTAAATAGTCGAAGAAGAAATAGAATTGATCAATCATTAACTGAGTTACAGATTTTTTTTTTAATTATTAGAGGACTGCTGGATTTATGTTACTTGTGTGGTGTGTCAGAATGGCAGAAAAACTTCGGGATCTATATAATAATTAGGTGCTTTTTCGGTGTTAATTAGGGCCTCTAATTAAAAATTAGGTGCTCCTCTAGTTTTTGAGAAAAAAAAAAAAACTAAGGGATTGCTAGGTTTGTGAAAGCTAGTAGTTCTCTATAGAGAAAAATATTTTTCCAAAAATGTTATCAGAATTAGGTGCTTTTTAAGTACTCCTAAATAGTCGAAGAAAAACTTGAATCAGTTAATTATTAACTGAATTACAGATTTTTTTCATTATTAAGAAATTGTTGGCTTTACTATTACTTGGTGATGTTTCAGAATAGAAAAAAAATTTCAGGTCTATACCTATAATAATAATAATTAGATGCTTTTTAGGTGCTAATTAGAGCTACTAATTAAAAATTAGGTGCTCCTTTAGTTTTTGAGATGATCAAAAAAAAAAAAAAACAAAGGGACTTCTAGGTTAATGGAAACTAGCAGTCCCCTATAGTAAAAAATATTTTTTCAAATTTTTCTTTTGTATCAGAATTAGGTGCTTTTTAGGTGCTCCTAAATAGTCGAAGAAAAAATAGAATTGATTAATTATAAACTGAGTTACAGATTTTTTTTCATTATTAGGGGACTGCTGGCTTTACGTTTACTAGTGGT